GTAAAGATCTTTTGTTCTGTTGATTTTTCCAAACCACCGCCCTCTTCTCCCCTTCCTCTTCCCCCCTTCTCCCTTCCTTCTTCGCCCCTTCTCCCCTCCGCCTTCCTTTATTCGCTTCTTCCTTAGCTAGATGGGAAATTGGGGGAGACGACCATGCTTCCCTTCCGGTTTCTCCTGCGTTTCTTCCTGTTGTTCTTTTCGTATTTTTTGTTTCGTGTTTTATTTGTTTTGCTTGTTTTACGATCCGTTTGGTTCTTTTCTTGTTCAGTTAACTTTTTTTTTTTGTTCAGTTTATTGCCTTGTTTTCTTAATTTCCTTTTTTTTCTGTTTTCTGTTGTGTTATTTTCCTACTTTTCTCTTTCCTTGTGTTATTTACCTTCATTTTCTTCGTTTTTATTTTCTGTTGGTCTTATCGTTCGCGAATTCCTTTTATTGTTTCATTTAGTCGTCCATTTCTTTTTTTTTTATCCGTTTCATCAACTGCTTTCTTTTTCCGTTTCACTCATTCGTTCTTTTTTTTCCTTTCCCTTTCTTTCATTTGTCAGTATTTCCCGTTTTATTCATTTTTCTTCCTCTCGCCATTGTTATTAGGTTCGGGATGACCCTGTGGTGGACGTCGGGTTTGATGGACAGGCCGCCCTTACGCAAAACCGAGTGGGCGTGAGGGCGTGTGGGCGGGGAGGATTTGGGGTGAGACAGACAGGCAGTGATTGTGTGGGTGCTGGCAACACGGGTCCTGGGTGGGTGGCTGGGTGGCTTGGATGCGTGGGCGGGTGAGTGTTTGGGGTGAGAGTGGGCGGGGCTGTCACGCTGTTGCACCCACACGTCCTCCCTCCCTCCCTCTCTCCCTCCCTCTCTCCGTCCATCCTTCCCTTCCCCCCTTACTTCCCTTACTATCTCCCTCCTTCCCTCCTTCCCTCTCTTTCCTCTTCTCTCGTTTCCCCTCCTCTCCCTTCCCCTCCTCCCCTATCCTCTCCTCTCGTATCCTCTCCTCTCCCTTTTCCTCCTCTTCCCTCCTCTCCTCTCCTCTCCCTCTTCCTCCCCTCTCTCTCTCCCTCTCTCCCTCTCTCCCTCCCTCCCTCCCTCCCTCCCTCCCTCCCTCCTTCCTTCCCACTCACCCACGCCCTCCCCTCCTCCCTTTTTCCCTCCCCTCCCCTCCCCTCCGATTCAGCGAGCCCTTGCCAACAGACACACATGCACGCCCAGACTCGCTTTTTTCCCCTCCTTTTTTCTGCTTTGTGTCTACCGTGCCAAAGGGGGCCGCCCATGACTCCTGTCGGGGCTGTGGGCGGTTGAGCGAGGGGTGAGAAGGGGGGGGGGTGCGGGCGGGATATAGTCAGAGGTCTTTGCTGGTGATGACTGTGAGAGAGAGAGAGAGAGAGAGAGGGAAGGAGGGAGGGAGGGAGGGGGAAGAAGAGGTATAGGTGGAAGGAGGTGGGTGGAAAATGAGTGGGATGGAGGGAAGGAGAGGGGAAGCGAGTGAAGGAAGGAGGGAAGAAGAGCAGGGTGGAAAGGAGAGGGAGGAGTGGAGAGAGAGAGAAGGAAAGGGAGCGATGGGGGGGGGGGGGGAGCGAGAGAGAGATGTAGCGGGTTATTTTAGAGACAGACAGATAGACAGACAGACAGACAGACAGACAGACAGACAGACAGACAGAAAGAGAGCGAGGGAGAAACTGTGTTTGTGTGCGTGTATGCACGTGTGCGTGCGTGCGTTTGTGGTTTGTTTGTAGTGGCTCAAGTTTCTTGCAACAAAGATGATGTAAAACAAATACATTGCTTTAAGAATGTCTGTGACGTCAAAGCGAACTTGATATGATATGAGTTTATGCTAATGCACGCGCGCGCTCTACTTTGCTACTTTGCGCTGCCCATTTGTCTGTTTGTCTGCCTTTCTCTCTCTCTCTCTCTCTTTCTCTTTCTCTTTCTCTTTCTCTTTCTCTCTCTCTCTCTCTCTCTCTCTCTCTCTCTCTCTCTCTCTCTCTCTCTCTCTCTTTCTCTCTCTTTCTCTCTCTTTCTCTCTCTTTCTCTTTCTCTCTTTTTGTAAGTATGTTTGGATGAGAGAGAGAGAGAGAGAGAGAGAGAGAGAGAGAGAGAGAGAGAGAGAGAGAGAGAGAGAGAGAGAGAGAGAGAGAGAGAGAGAGAGAGATACAGAGAGAATTTGCATGTGTGTCCCTCCCCCTCTTCCTGCCCTTCTCATTTATGGTTTACAGTATTTCTACATTGATCTTGGCACACGTTCAATGGCCTCTTAAATTTTCATGGTTACGCGGTATTTTGAAGGTCGAATAGTTTCGCGTGCGTGTGTATACTGTTAATTTCAATACTCATTTATTCATTAATTGATTTGTATAAACATAGTTTGAGTGTTTATATGGACAGAGAGATCAAAAGAAAAACGTTGATTTTTCACACACGTGGATATCTGCATATATTCGTTATGCCATATGTGTATTTTTTTTCTTCTTCCTTTCTCCGTATCCCCTCTCCCCCTACCCCCCCA